TTATAATATTTTAGAACAAATCAATCATAGCTTAATGCCAAACTATTCTCCTGCAAACACTTAGATTACTTTCAATTGTTTGCTAATATTAAATATCAGTCTTTATATGCCTATAGGTTTTTCTACATGTTGGATTATTTTGTTAGTGTGGAGTCTCAGAAATGGGATAACTTAGTGAAAGGGCAGACATTTTTATAGGTTCTTGACAAATACTGTTAAAAAGCTAAGTGAAACTGTTTGTAGCAAATCACAATGCCTCAAACAATATATTAAGTTCTAATAATTTGACTTCATTCCTGCCACTCCTGGATATTACCTTAAAAACAAACATATTATGCCAACTTAATTTGTGTTTTTTAATGCCTAATGAGACAACATATGCTTTAGAACAGGAACTTTCCGAAGTTCATTCCATCTATCCACCAGTCTGTGCCAGATCCTTTGGCACAAACTTTGGAAAATGAAGGGTTCCAAGGCCAAATAAATGTGGGAAGCTCTGTATATTATTACCCTGCTCTCAGAGATGTCCAATTATGTTCGCATATGAATAGCTAAGAGAAGACCTGCAGATCACACCCATGTCTTTTTTTTTTTTTAAACATGTCAATGTCAACAGACAGCAATTAGGAAATGAATTCCTTTCTCATGCCATCATCTACTAATATTTGGGGAAATGCTTATGGTGTAAAGATTAGTCTCACCTTCCTGTATACTGCTGAAGTGTTTTATACAAAGCGAGAACTGCTAGTTCTTCCTCAGTAGTGGAATTTTCTTGATCCATGCCATTCTCTTCTGAAAGATAAGGAAATATTAGTATTCTGTAGTTTCTAATTAAGTAGCAAAAGGATAGATGACCACATCACTTAAGCATGCAAATATAAACATATTCATACACTCACATATAACATGAAATAGTCCCACAAAACATACATAATTTTAATCCTTCCAGTGTGAGCAGTATTGATCTCCACCAGACCAAGGAAACAGCTGGCATGTTGTGAGTAGAGTCAGCTAAATATATTGTCTTAAAATGTTTGAAAAACAGGAAGTTTGAACGTAAAACTGATGAACTCACAAGGGCATTAAGTTAAAACAAAATTGACATTCTAAAACATAAAATTCTAAGGGGTTTAACTACTATGCTTCTCAAATATTACTGAACTTATGAAATACACAAAAGTAAAAACATTCACATTTCTAGAGAATTTTAATAGGAGAAAGAAATTTGTTTCAAAACTTCTGACATGAGGATAAACAGAAAAAGCAAGCCTAATTATAATTCATGTATTACTCTCTTCCAAATACCTTTTGTTTTTAAACCTGGGAGCACAAATTCAAGTTGCCCTGAATGTATGCTCCCAAATACTTTTTCCTCTAATGCTTTTTTTTTTTAACTGAGAAAACTCAAGTACTTCCTTTAAGAAACTGACAAACAGGCAAGAGTTACCTGTACATGAGGTAAGTAAGATTTGTACGACGTGTGCCATAGTAACCAGATGGAAAATGTGAAGGTCTCCAGTGGCAAGGCTTATCCCTGAAAAATCCTGACACTGCAACGCAGGGAAAGCAAGCACCAAGCCCACCTAGACACCAAATACAGAACGTCAGACAGATTGCCTCTCCTTTCACAGCAAAATACATTTCCATTTTCTTACTGTGGTCCTTCCTGAGCTCAGCCCCTCCCTTTAAGAAATCTTTGTTCTTAAAGGATATACACATTAGAAAATCCCCATTTAGGATTGGCTAAATGAAATCAATTAAGAGTTAAAGGGGTCTCGATGGACACTATCATTTCATTTATCCTATACATAGCTTATTGTTAGTAATAATAAAAATAACACTTGAAATCTTTCCAGGGAGTGAACAGTTGAAAAAACTTAGGTTTTGGACCTACAAGCATCTAGATATGAACCCCAGCTTCTCCTCTTATGAGCTTCTTTAGGTAAGGTAACATTTCTGAGCTTCAGTTTCACCTCGGTAAACTAGAGATAATATCTACGTGTTTCGAATCCCTCATTAGGAGGGATGTGAGGAGCCAGTGTGAGTGCGTGTGAAAGCCGGCAGGTACAAAATAAGTGCTGGTTCTTTGTTAGCCTCCTGCTGCCTGCATGGTGGTGGTTTTAGTGGTAGCAATAAGAATAGTTGAACTTTATTAGGGATATATTGCTGTAAGCTCTTAACATGGATTAACTCACTGAGTTCTGACACAACCATATGAAGCAGGTACTAAGCAACTTAAAGGTACAGAATCTGAGGTCCAGCACTTGGGGCTGCGGGTGTGGTGGTGTGCTCTGTGTTCCGTGCAAGGGGACCCTGCTGAGGCGGAGCTGAAATTTGGCTTTTTTGTTAAGAACACCCACTGTTTACCAGCTGTGTCCTGGCACCAGGCTGCACCTGCTCAGAAGAGGTACCTTTCCCTGAATCATAAAAAGGGGCTGTTTGCTTCTAAGTAATGTGACCACAGGGCTGTAAGTGCCCAGATTTTCTAAAATGCACACAAGCACTGTATGGGCCAGCAACAGCCATTATGTTGCTGGTGTTATTTTATCTCTTTATAAGTTAAAAGCACAGAGAACATAAATTACTGACCTCAGTAACAAAGCAAACTAAGAGATGGAGAATGTCTAGACATCCCAGGTCAAGTTTCTCAACTAGGTTCCTTAATATTTTCTTTTTGAGGTTACTCATAAAAGAATTATACTCAGAAATGGTGAGAATAGTATCATATGATTAACTCCTCCCATCTGTCT